GGCGGCCAGCCGACCCCACTCGCCTCCCTCCTTCCCCGGGGGCTGGCGGGTCCCTGCCGGGGAGGCTGCCCTCCTGCTCCTCGCCCTGGTGTAACCGCCGCCGGGCCTTCTCCCTCCATCCCCGCGGGCTCGCGCGATTTCAGCCCGTTCGCGCTTTCGCGCGGGCTTGGCCACGTTGGTAGGCTTGGGGCTTCGCGCCTGGCCCTTCCCGGCCCCGTGCGCCGGGGCAGGGCAAAGACTGAGAGCGGTGAGCGCCGTGAGCCCGCCCTGGCTGTGCCTGGCCGCCCGCTGAGCCCAGCGGAACGCTCTGCCTGCAGGGTCCTGGCGTCGCTGTGACAGCAGGCGCAGAGGAAGAAAACGGCGCGGCTTTGCGTGAAGCAAGAAACGCGGCGTTAGCTGTCGCCTCGGCTTTCCTGAGCCCGCTCCCTCCCAAGGGCTGCCCTTGGCGTGGCAGAAACAGCTTGACAGAGGCCAGAGGCAAATTCCTGGCGGGGGAGAGGAGGTCGAGGAATATCTCCGAAGCTTAGGCGCGCTCTGTAGAGAAGCGGCAAGCGGGGGTTGGGAGGCGAGGGGAGAAGTCAGCTCAGTAGGTGCAGAATCTTAGCTGGGCTTTGGGCAAAAGTAAGTCAGCGGTGGGCAAAATATTTGGGCAAAAATAAGGAGGCGGTGCTGCTGTCTGCAGGGAGAGACACGGGAATAAATTTCTGCCTGAGCAGAATGATTCCTGTGTCTGACATGAGCTTCCAGATTGGTCTCGGTTAACAAGCTCAGCTAAACCGTCTAGTTTATTGGCGCTAGAATTGCGTTGCGAGTGTCCAAGCTGCTGAATGTGCAAGCTTGCAATTTCACACTGCCTTGGCATAAATAGTCAAAGCATCAGATAAATGTCAAGCATGAGTGAAGAAAGCGGGTTGTTCTTGTGCTATCTCTAACAGTAAGTTGCATGTGCTTGAAATAGAACTGTCTATATGGACTGCTGTGAGCTGGCTGGGCTATTTTAAGTATTACTAAACCTTGTGGCTGGCATCTTTTGGGAGACGGGACTGAGGCAGCCACACGGTAGGATTTGCTCTCCAGAGCGACTTTGCAGGGGCAGTAGGCTGCTCTGCTTGGGGTGGTGCTGTAATTCTGGGGGTGATAGAGCGAGCCCTTGAAAATCTAGGCCACTTTCTGTGGGGTTTCTCCCCCTTGCTGTGGGAATTGGCTGCAGCAAGGCTAATCTGAGCGGCTTTCAGAAATGCCTCTAGGTTTCTTTCTGTGTGCATAGAGGAATGAGGCAGCCCGGTGAACTCTCTTTGCGTGAAGAAGTGGATCCAAGGATATATATTTTTGTTCTGAGATTATCATCTGGTTGCTGTACTTGGAGATGGTCAGTAGCTTTGTATCTTGAACGAAATGTTTTCTTAGTTAATTGTAGGGATTGAAAATAGAAAGTCTAAAGCAAATAGAACAAACAGCTGAAAAATCTGGCTGTAAAAACCATGATTACTTTTTTTTTTTTCCCCTCCATTGCCACTTTGCTCAAGTCACCACAACAGTTTTGGAAGGTATGATAGTGAGAAATTATTGAGTGATTTTTCTAGTGATCTCAGATGGCTATATTCTGTTCTGGCAGAATCTTGTTAGGTGTAAGCTGGGGCAGTTAGGATGAAGGATGTTTCACGCATTATGTGCATCTTCAGACAACAGCACAGCCAGAGAACTGGGAGTGTTGTCTGTAGGTGCTGTATTTGAAGAACGCAGAGCTGACTTAAAATCTGGTTGTTCCCTTGCCTAGCAGTGAAATGCCCCGGGTGAATTGCTGCGCTCCCTTCGCTGGATGTCAGCGCTGACAAAGAACAAGGGAGGTGTTGAAGGACGTCCATAGCTATTTCTCTGCTGACAGACTTGTGAGCTTCCACTTGTGGTCAGGTGTCACGCCTGACTGCAGCGACAGAGCCCATCTGCGGTCACCCCACAGCTGTTGTTGCACCACTTGCTCTGGAAGCATGTACCTGGGCTTGTGGTGCTGTGCACAGTCAGTGGAGGGCTTCAGGCATTTCTGTGGGACCATAGCAGGTTATTTTGAGCACTTTTTAATTTTAGCTTCCCTGTGCTTAGTAGCACAGGAGCAACTCATTGCCGTGCTCACTTAATTTCCAGCATCATCAGCATCGGGTACTTCAACAGTAGGTGAAGTGTAACCTGATTTTTAGAAACGTTCTTATTCCTGGCAATTAATGAGAGGACCTGCCAGGGTTTCAACCCAAATTTCTCTGCGTTCTCTGTGCTTGACTGTAACTCCAGATAGATGATGCCAGACCAGGGAAATGGGGAGTTGTGAAGATTGCGTGATTGCTGCCTGTCTGAGTGCAAAATGAAATGAAAAGATCTATTAGTTTTTGGAGAAGTGAAGTGGGGAGCTGACATGTGCATCAGTGAAATCAAGCGGTGGCTTAAACATGTGCCCTTCTGCGGAGACCCCGAGTGCGTGCATGCGCATGGTTAAGGTGCTCAGCGCATCGCTTCTCCCAGCTGAGACTCGGGGAAGAGAGTCAGCCAGGGCTTCCTGATCTAAGGCGAGAGAGCGTATGCCGAGCTAACAGAGCATGTGGGAGTGCAGTTTCTTTGGTTTTGTTTCATCTAAAAAAATCTCTTCTGTCACTGTATAAGAAACTTGTGCTTGTTTTGATGGAGCTTTTTGGTCTCCTTATAAGTATACAGTCATAGTTCCTGGGGCCGTTGGGGCACGATTCCAGCTGGACATGCTGAATCAGTCAAAGGAGATTCCTCAGACCTTCAACCAGCTTCTGCTGTGGGCGCAGATGAGCTGCAGAGGCTGCTCTAAAAGAGGTGCAGCTTTGGGGAGGAGAGGGGTGGCTCAGCAGGATCCAGAAAAAGGACACATGCTTAGCTCAGTGTCTGCATGAATCTATGTAGAAGGCAAC